ACTGGATCCTGCAACTCTTTCATAAAATCTGTTTTATGGCCAAGTGCACTGGAATAATCTGCACCATAGTCCAAGTGCTGCTGGATCCAACTAAAGACCACAGTGGCATGTTAGTGACTCTGCTCCCTGCAGCCAGGACTCCAATGATGACTCAGCCACTGAGAGGGAGAGGCTTCAGCATCAACCACCTCCATCTACTTCTCTGACCACGAAGTCCAGAGAGAATGCTAGAGCAAGGCAGTCCACATCCAGCAAAAACGGTTAGTGAAAATGACCAGGGAAACTTGGAGATGTTGACCATAATCCACAAAAACCAAGAACGAAGAATACCCGTAAGTGTGTTCACGTATGAAAAACAACACTGCTGTTGTGCCCTCATTCAGGACCTTAGTCAAGACAAACAACTCCTCAGATGAGAAACAGCATCAAATGCATATTCAGAGTGACCGAAAGCAAGGAGCAAGAGCATAACCGAAAGCAATCCAGCAGTCAGCACCTAAATCCTGTTGGAAGGCTGCCCATATGCACAGCTGGCTGAATGTGCCCAGGAACTCCAGCCCCAAGGAATAGCTCTTAACCAATGTTTGGTGGGCCTAGAAGTATCAGTATCCCTGCCTCCTTGTTCCTTGGCGGGGATAACTCTAAGTGTGCATTGTATGCCATTTTCCACTGCTCCCCCAAGAGCTTAAGCTCCAGGTGCCCACTCTGGTAGCTAGTCTAACATGGTATCTCTTATTAGCTGCTTTCCCTTTCCTTTCCCATTTCCCCACTCCTCACCTCATGTCTCTGCTCCTCCTAAAGCAACCACATGCTCTCGATCCTCATCTCAGGGTCTGCTTCTATGGGAAGCCCTGCATGCTATGCCTTATCAAAGGTGCCCAGAGAGTTCAGTCACTGACTGCTGGCGAGTCGGATTTGACTCATAGCGACCCCTCCTTGAGTTTCCGAGGTGCTATCATTATGGAAGTAGATTGCCCAACCTTCCTTCTGAGTAGTATCTGGTGGATTTGAACCACCAGCCTTCTGGTTAGCAGTCAAGTGCCTTAGGCATTATGCCACCAGAGCTCCCTAGGGCTACCAGTGACAGAACACCAGTGCATCAGTGACAGCGAGAAATTCTAGACCCCTGGCATGTGTGCCCTGTGGGAACTCCAAAGGTCCCAGCCTGCTATTCCTTCCTCATGAGGACATGGCATGCCTTGGGGATCCAGACAACATCCAAGTCACTCAGATACCTGGCTGGCCTCCATGGAGGAGCCAGAGTCTGGGCTTGGGTCACATAAATCAAATGCCTTATGACTCCACAAAAGGGACAGCCCATAATCTGCAAAGTTCAAAGACCATTTCTTTCTGTTGATCTTCCTTCATCCAGTTATGAGTCCCCAAAACAATACCCTAGAGTTTAGTGCTGAGCAGCTGGCAATGGTCTCCTGTCTGCACACACAGATAAATATGGGTGACCTTCCTGTGTGATGGATTGGGGCTGATGGCATTCAGGTACACTTGAGCAGGAAAATGATGTTTGCTCTGTTGGGAGATGAATGTTGCTTCACATAGACTGCATGTCTCTTTGCCTTACCTGTCCAAAGAGGACACTGCCGGAATAATAAGAGTAACTACTATATTAACCACACGCAGCATTTATTAAACACCATGTGCTAAACACTGAGAGAAGCACTGTGTCCCGTTGAGTCCTCACAAGCGTTCTCTAACATGGGTATTATTAAATCCCCACCTTCATTTAAGACAAGGTGACTGACACCTCTGCAGCTTCTGTAAGTTGCCTGAGGTTTCACTTGTTACCCCAAGTGGACCCTCAAACCCAGCTCTGAGCCATGTGTTACACACAGGGCCAGCTACATCCTTTGCCAGGCCCAGTGGAAAATGGAAATGTGGAGCCCCTGTTACAACACTGTTAACAATTTCAAGATGGGAGCAGCAGACCATTCAGCCAAACGTGGGTGTAAGTGACTACAAAGCCCGCAGGCCTGTGAGGATGGACTGGCCATGCGGGTACAAGAGACAATGAGATGATTGAGGACAAGGGCCCCAGTGTTGACCCTTTTTAACCTTAGAGACTGAGAAACTGCTCACATTATATTGACAACAATTCAGAGAGTTTGGCTACTTGGTTGGAAGAGAGGGTCATTTTCTGGCAGGAGCTATCAATTGGTTCATCTGGTAAACCTTCATAGATATAATACTTCCCTCAACTGGCCCACCAAGAGTCAAGAGTCGGAATGTGGGGGAGGAGAAGACACCCTTTGGGCTGGGTGGCTCTTGACTTTCTCATAGCACACCAAGCCCAGGAACAGGTACGGAGATTTGACTATGTACTTGGATAAGACTTCTGAAAAGGATGCCAAGTGCAGGGCCTGCCGGAGTTCTACCAAAGATTTGGTAGATTTTGCAGTTGTGACAAAACTGGCAACAACTGGCCAGATTTTCCTGTGGTCCCACCACAGTAAGGTGGCCACTCCAACAAGGCACACGGGAAGAGCCACAGGCATGGAGCCTGGCTTGGACAAGCTGTGTGACCCTGGGCAAGTTCCTGAACCACATCAGGTTCAGTTTCTTACCTGTAGGTGAGGGGAGTGGTACCTACCTCTGTGGGTAGTTGGAGGACTGAGTTACTGTACAGAAAGCACTCAGCACAAAGTAAGCACTCAAGTAAATGCTTCTAGAGTACAATGGCTGCCATCCACCATGGAGTTGGCTGGCCAGTTGAACCAGTCCATGATTGGAAGGTAGACATTAACACGGGTTGAATCCTTGGGACCATACCCCATTTGTTGCATGAACTGGAGGAAGTCTGTGAAGTCGTGCCATGGCAGTCCCCCACCCCCAACACACAGAATGTATCCTGTGCAATGTTTTTGACACACAGGATCCATGAGGTGCAGGTGAGAAGTGCATGAAGGAAATGGGAGTGACGGCCGTTTTCACAATTACTCAGAGTTTACTGTCATAACATGTAAACGTTCACGTCTTGGGAGGCACTGGAACAGGGGATGTCACCCTCTTTCCCAGACTCCTACCATCGTCAGGGATGCTCAAGGGCCATCCTACCTGTGGCTCTCTTACAAGTCACTAAGCAATCTAAGCAATTTTTCCCCTCACAGTTTTTCACACAATCTCTACCTTGTTGACCCTGAATTTGCCCTACTCCAATTCAATTCCTGCTCTACAGTCAAACCCAGGGCATGCTAAAAGGAAAACAACAATTCAGGACAAATTCTGCTCAGTGGGGAGAAGCTGCCCCATGCAGACACCCCAGTCTTTATGTATCTTTGAAGGACAATATCAGTCATAATAGAAGTCAGCGATGGCTCACGTGCTTGTGGAAGTGCGGCCAGCCCCATCGAATAGTTTGTGCTTTAAGAAATCCAACGTGCATAAAGGATTCTATTTTCTTCAAAAATACGACTCATATAAAGCAATAAAATCGGAAATTCTTTCCCAAACTTTCACGAAGGGTGCAGTGGGAGGAAAACCGGAGATCATCTAATCATACACACGTGTAATATACAAAGACACGCACGCACACAGTCCCCTTGGTGCAGCCAGTCATTTACATTTAGAACACTTTTCCGGAACATTCGGCATCTGAGTCACTCACGCGCAGGGCCAGGTTACCACAGATGGAAACTGGGAATCCTCTTTCTGCTCTGCTCAAACTGCAGCCACTTTAATAGCCTTTGACTCTGGTTCTCCTCACTTGTTCTGCATATCAGCTTGTTTAAGAAGGTTTCCATCAACAACAAACCTGAAGTTCAGGGCTTTTCTCACCTGAAGCCATCTTTCCATCAAAAGCACCCAACTGAGAGGTACCCCTTGGCAGGTCCGCCGTGAAGTGCTCTGATCCACCTCCCCCTGCCCTCTCTTCATCTCCCCAGGTGTCTTACCACCTCTCCCTTCCTGCAGTGTTCCCAAATACCCTTCACCACCCAGAGCAAGGACACCCTTCACTTTATAGGAGGTATTCAAATCCAGGAAGGGAGAGTCACTCCTGCCCCTGGGGACCCAGCTCTTTGAAGCTGAAGGGAGGCTTTTGGTCCCTTGCATACAATTATTCATTGGGTAGTCTGGGAAGGTTACCATGACAACGCTGCCAGAGCCTCCTGTATCTATATGTCATTGATGCATCCCATCAATCCAGGGAAAGAATTAAAAAAAAAAAAAAAAGCCAGGCAAAGCAGTTCTTGGACTTCTGTGTCCCCTCTGCCCTGCTCAATGACTGCTTTTCTTATTTGTGGTATAATCCAGACACAGCTTCAGCAAGACTCTTAACACTGCACCATTTGCCTCAAATGCATTTTAAAGCTCAGAATCAAAGTCCAGCCTAATAGGGACTTTTCTATTCTGTTCTTCATTTTTCCAAGCATTACACTCAGGAGTGAGTTTCGCTGCTGGCCACGGCATGCTTTAACTAGTATGTACTAGGCCAGCAAAGAGCTCTAGACTCTAAAACCTTCCCGGATAGAAGGGTCAGACATGGGGAGAGGCTAGGAGTGCTGCAGTCAGCTCCGGTGACTTCCGTAATAGCAGGTACGTGGGTTTCCAGAGAGACAAAGAAAATGGCTTGCCTTTGGCCCTTTGGCTGAAGACAAAAGGTCTCTCTGTACACAACTTTTACAGAAAGAGAAAAGAAAGAAATCCCACCCATTTTACCAAAACGGTTCTTTGAAACAGCAATTATTCAAAGAAATCAAGAGAGGGTTTGTAGTGAGGTCCTCAATTCTCTCCAAAGGCTTTACTGCCTGTAGTTGTTGGAGCATCATCCCTAAGACCATGGGAGAGATGTGTATAAGTTATGGCACCCCAGTCATACTCTGGACTACAGCTTTTCAGCTCTTCCTTCTATGTAGGGAGACACTATGTTAATACTGACATAGGGCCACGGTTTGAAACAGCAATTAAAACCGTCTTCCAGGATTCCTGAAGACAATCTCCTGAGACTGTGCAAGCCATTATGCTAATGACAGGCCAACTCAACATACCTGTCGGTGAGCCCTCCATGACGTGGCCGATGTAGGGGCCTTCCCGGAAGATTGGCCTGTTGTCATTCTGATCAATCACGATTATTTCCAGAGGCACCGGCCCCTCAAGAGTTCTGCCAGTGACGTCAGTCGTCTCCACAAATAGCTATTTGAGCAAAGAGATTGGGGGAGAAAGACAGAATTACTTCATTATGGAAACGGAAATCGGATCTGAGGGAGAAAGTGGGCTGTATCAGCAGGTGTCCAAATTTAGGTCTCATTGGCCAGTCTCTGGGGCTGCAATAGAAGCACAACATCCCAAATGAGAGTTTGAGGTCAGTTCAGGCTAGATCCTCTGGGGGAAATTTACAACTAATTCATCAAATCTGCAAAAGAAGTCCAGAAAGAAAGATGTAAAACCATTGCTCACAGTCAGCACAGCTGAGAAAATGTGCTTACATTGTTTTCTGTGTCTACAGTGTTGTTATGCTTCAAAGGAATGTTATGCTAATAAAAATAATTGAGTAAGCTGTTAGGAGCAGAGTACATTAAGAGATAACCACAAGTGCTGATGGTAACGTTTAGAAGTTCAGATTAATGAATATTTATAGAGGGCCTAGTGCAGTTGAGGAACTCAGCAGAGGTGAGGGCCAATGAGACCTGGGGCTCCTGCCCACCAGGCGCTTACAGTTTAGTGGGGGCTTACACAAGCCCATGCAGTGCTTCCATAGGGAGTCATCTTCAAACCTCAAGAGTGAACACGGCTTCATCACCAGCCCTATCGTTTGCCAGGGAAACGAAGACGTATGGCATTTTAGTCATTGGCAATGACTTATGCCCCATGCTCTCATTCTTTGTGCTCAGTTCAGCCTTGATTTCACACCTCTCTCCTTGACCTTGGTGGTGGTCTCTGCATAGGAGGTTGTAGAGGATGGTGGTCAGGCAAGGGTCTCTGCTGTTGTAATCACAGCTCAGCTTCTTACTAGCTATGTGACCTTGAGCAAGGCACTCAACTTCTTAGTTCCCACATCTATACAATGGTGTTAATACAACTCTCAAAGGAGTTGGTGTGAGGATTGACAATCATAATGGCCAACATGTTAATCCAGCACTTGGAGTCCTTGGGTGGTGCCCATGGTTAACATGCTTGGCTGCTAACCGCAAGGTTGGAGGCTTGAGTCCATCCAGATGCCTCCCAGAAGAAAAACCAGGCAACAAGTGTCTAAAGGGTCACTGGAAACTCCTTGGATCACAGCTCTACTCTGACACACATAGGGTCACCATGATTTGGAATTGACTCAAGGCCAACCGGTTTGAAGGATCTGACACTTACTCATGCTCTAAACTGTATTAACTCACTTGATCCCTGTGCACACTATGTGAACCATCAGACAGAGGAGGGGATCGAAGTGTAGAGAAGTTACGTGACTTGCTCCAGGTTGCACAGCTAGTGAGTAGTGAAGTCTAGATTTGGTTTCATGAGGTCAGCCTCCAGAGTCTACTTTTGTAACCATAATATTTCTAAAGTGCTAAATATAATGAGTCCCAAAAAACATCTCTAGAATATCAGCTGCTGCAACGATGCTACTGTTACTACCAACCATTGTCAAATCTGGTCTAGATTAGGAAAACAGAAAAACACTCTTGTTACTAATCAGGAAAGTCACTCCCCAGCCCCCTCACACACACACCTGATGGGATATAAACTGAGACCACTCTTTTGGAAATCAGCATGGAAAACTCCACAAAGCCATGAAGGGTCCATTTTTGATCCACTCCTGGTCCTATGTGAAATGAGTTGTGTTGGCTATATGAAGATACGTAAAATAACAATGGCATCCGTCTCAAAGTCTAATAGAAGGGGTCCAGTTGAATGAATGGGTGTGCCACCACAAGTTAAAATAGAGCCATTAGGGAAAACAATTGTCAGAAATCCATTATCGACTTAGAATAGTGTGAAAACACACCGAATAGCACATGCATGATCCATATGTAACTTGTACACATTCGAACAGAAGTTTAACTTCTGACTGAAGGGTTGAAGGTTTGACTCCACCCAGAGGCATCTCAGAAAAAATGGTCTGGTGATCTTCTTCCTAGAATTCAGCCATGGAAACACGATGGAGCACTGTCTGGCCCTGACACATACAGGTTTGTGAGAGTCAGAAGTGACTTGACAGCAATTAAGATCTTTTTTTTTTTAAATAAAAATGAAGGCAGGTATGCTTAGGAGGAAGAATTGTTTTAAAAATATATATATATTTTTATCATTAGTTTACTCCTTCAATAGCAAATTTAATTTACACACACACACTTTCATTGCTGGAACAGATAAAATAAGGCCAAAACAAAACAAAAAAAACAAACAGATGCATTGCCGTCAAGTGTTATCCAACTCATAGCGACCCCTCTTTGGGTTTCTGAGGCATTATCACTACGGAAGCAGATTGCCCAACCTTCCTTCCTAGGAGTGGCTGGTTAGCAGTCAAATGCCTCAACCACTACGCCACCAAAGCTCTCATAGGCAGAGATGCCTTAATTCAGGAAAAATAAAAAGATGCTGTTGTTGTTATGTGTTGTCGAGTCGGCCCCAACTCATAGCGACTCCTCTTTGGGTTTCTGAGGCCATATCACTATGGATGTAGAGTGCCCGACCTTCCTTCTGAGGAGTGGCTGCTGGGTTTGAACCGCCAGCCTTCTGGTTAGCAGTCAAGTGCCTTAGGCACTATGCTACCAGAGCTCCTAAATAAAAAGACAGAGCCTCTGAACATCTGCACGCAAAGAGTGCCTTACATACTATGAACTTTTATCCATTGATGCTGCTTTTGAGCTGCTATGAGAACACCGCTCAAGATAGGGAACAATTTGGGGCAATTTCACATAATAACCAACATCTGCCCTTCTGTCCTCCAAAGAGCCAAAGACGTGACTTCAGCTCAACCTACACACCTATGCCCACAAGCAGTAATATCTTGAATCTGAATTTGAGCTTCTATATTCCACAAGACTCAGCCAGTGGCTTCAGCTACAGGTAGGACGTCATTGTTGTTAAGTGCTATTGAGTCAGCTCTGACTCATAGCGACCCTACCGACAAGGGAACGAAACACTGCCCGGTCCATTATATCCGTGTTTCACAGCTCTTCATGAGGTTTCCAGTGGCCTATTTTAAAGAAGGAGAGCCCCCTTCCTTCTTTGGAGTGTTAGGCTGGAAACTCTGCTGAAACTTGCCCACCATGGGTGACCCAGTGGCACAGCCTCCAGCCTCACAGCAACACGCAAGCCACCCAGAAAGACAAACTGACAGACAAATGGTGGGTGGGTAGGATAGAACAACAGAACTCTCCTTTGCTGAATGTACAAATGTGCTGAAATTGGGAGAAGCAGAGTCCAGATATGTCTCACCATCACAGAAAGACAAACACTAAGAGATACAATCGTTCAGGATGAATCCAAAATATTGAGGTGAATCTCACAGAACCAATGATGCAAGCAGGCAACTTGATGGCATTTTATGTTACAAAACTAACAACACTCACATTTTTAGTTTTCTTAGCAGATAACAATATCAACAGAAGCCAAGATTTTTAGAATGGTGTCTAAAAACAGAAGAAAGCTCTTAAGTGGCATTTACTCATTTTGAAGTTGAGTTAATAAAAATTCGTTGAGGATCAACTGTATATCATGCACTGGGTATTTAAAACAAGACACCAAACCTGCTGCCATCACATTGACTGAGTTATAGCAGTCACACAAGACAGGGTAGAACTGCCCCCACAGGGTTTCCAAGGCTGTTATCTTTATGGAAGCAAATTGCCAAGTCTTTCTCATGAGAAGCAAGTGATGGGTTTCAACCACCGACCTTTCTGTTATAGCTAGCTGAGCACTTATAACCACTGTACCACTTGAGCTCCTTATTAGGTATCTAGTGGTTATCAAAAAAGATACTCTGCCACAGAGACAGATGATAAACCAAAGGAAAACACACAAACAAGCTAATTACAGTTAGAGATAAGGGCTACGAAGGAGATGAAACAGCTTAATATACTAAAGGTTCACTATACAATACTGTAGCTAGGAACACACAGGGCTATTTATATACAAATGAAATTTAAATAAAAAATTAAGTGCTGCAGTAAAAGTAGGCACACTGCAAGTACTCGGATGCCACATGTGGTGAGTGGTGGCTGTGCTGGGCAATGCAGAGTACATTTCCACAACTGCAGAAGGTTCTACTGGATGGTGTGGGGCTACAGTGTGGCATACACATGTGTGGAGGGTGCTATTTAAGATCCAATGTTTCAGAAAAGCCTTATTTCTGAAGGAACAGTTCACTAGAGACTGAAATGGCAATAGAGCAGAAGGAGTGTTAGGTAAAAATGCACAGAAAGAGAGTCCTATGCAGCAGGAACAGCGAGTGCAAAGGCCCTGAGGTACGGATAAGCTTGGCATCATCTTGGATGTGTGGAGTGCCAGAAGGTGAAGTCAAATAATTAGGGCTCCACTCGACTTCAATGGAGTAATTTCAGAGTTGACTGTTTTCATAGAAACACCTGAGCCAAGACAGCAGCGAAAGCGTTTTCTCCTGTGAACTGTTGGGTAGGGAGAGATGAGTAAGGGAAAAGTGTATCATGCTTCTTGCTAACAAAGGAAAAAAAAAAAAAAATAGAATGAAAAATACCTTCAGAAACGTGTGCTGTAGTGAATTACCTAAAGCACGTCTTCTAGCTGTGGTCTCTGTGACTCCCACCAGAGGACTGGATGCGACTATGCAAATGTGAGGTGCCTGTGGTCCACCAAGGAAATTGCATAGTTTGCTGAGAATGTAAATAAGGTACATGGCACCTTGTTGGGGTGGGCCCATGAAAATAAGGTGTATGGAACCCTAACGTGGGGGTTGGTCAGTATTGCCATCTTGCTGGGCTTAAAATGAGTCACTCTGGAGGTGGAAAGGGGATCTCACTAACATCAAGAAAGAAGAATCAGGAGTGGAGCACGTCCTCTGGCCCTGAGATCCCTGTGCTGAACTTCCTTGATCCAGGGCAGAGAGGGAGCTGTAGCACTTTGGTGAGGAAGTGAGACGGCGAGAGATGGCAACAGAGAAATCACAGACGCAGAGGCAGTAGAACCGAAAGACCAGCATGAGACAGTGCGGTGGGCTTCCCAGC